CCTGCAGAGGGCGGGAGCGGGCCCGTGAGCAGCGCAGCTGGGCTCCGGGCCCTGTCGGCTGTCTGTCACAGGAGGGCTGGGCTCCTGGGCCCCGTCGGCCTGTCTGTCCACAGGAGGGCTGGGCTCCTGGGCCCCGTCCGCCTGGCTGTCCAAGGAGGGCTGGGCTCCTGGGCCCTGTCGGCCTGTCTGTCCACAGGAGGGCTGGGCTCCTGGGCCCCGTCCGCCTGGCTGTCCAAGGAGGGCTGGGCTCCTGGGCCCTGTCGGCCTGTCTGTCCACAGGAGGGCTGGGCTCCAGGGCCCTGTCGGCCTGTCTGTCCACAGGAGGGCTGGGCTCCACACCTGTCTCTATAGGGATCGAACCTGCAACCTTGGGGTGGATGATGCTCTAACCAACTGAGCGGCCCAGCCAGGGCCCGGTGTATGGAAACTCTGTGTTATTCTTATGACATTTCTGTAATTCTGGGAATTATGTCAAAGAAAATGCATTAAACAATTTTAAAGGAAGCAACATCTTTAAGTTTTTAAATGGAAAAATGCTCATTTTGGGGCTTCCGGACCAGTAGGAAATGTACAGTATTCAGTAACTGTGTTATGAACAACCCTCAGCCCCTGGGTCCCGCACGGCTAGTTTGGTTCCATGGACGTCCTGGTCCCACAGGGTTACTTTGGTTCCATGGACGTCTCGCAGTCACCGAGATGGCTTTGGTGCCCACACGCCTCTCCCCAGGGACCTTCACTACTGTCACCCGCACCGCGTGGTCCTGGCCTGGGTGGCACCTGAGCCAGCTCCCCTGAGTGCCACCCTGAGGCGGAGGGGTTCATGTCGCTGCACCCAGGTCACAGGGAGCCCCTCGGCTCAGAGATGCGACCTGACTACAGCGAGGACGTGCAGGTCGGGGCGGGAGCTCACCCCGAGCCGGTCTGACTCCGCGCCGGGGCTCTGAGCTCTGGGCACTGAGCTCCCGGCACTGAGCGCCCGGCTCTGAGCTCCGGGCACTGAGCTCCCGGCATTGAGCGCCCGGCACTGAGCTCCGGGCACTGAGCTCCGGGCACTGAGCTCCCGGCATTGAGCGCCCGGCTCTGAGCTCCGGGCACTGAGCTCCCGGCATTGAGTGCCCAGCTCTGAGCGCCCGGCTCTGAGCTCCCGGCACGGGGCTCTCTCCGCCATGAGGCCCAACACCATCACAGTGACCCCCTGCAGCCTGGAGCTGGGCACGGGCTCCATCCTAATATCAGGGCCGAGGGGCACCCCAGCGACAAGACCCCGAGATGCACGCATTTCAAGTCCTCCCCGCAGCCCCGCTCCTGAGCACACACAGGCCCCGCCGCACCGGCCCAGGCAGAGGCCGGCAGCGCCCCGGAGCCGCGCTCACCGCAGATGAAGCACGTCGTCTTGAGGATCTCCTCTTTCTTCTGCTTCTCGCTCCTCAGGTCGGCGAAGGTGTCGATGATGACCCCGAAGATGAGGTTCAGCACGATGATGATGACCATGAAGAAGAAGAGCAGGTCGTAGATGACGCGGGCGGCGAACAGGGGCTCCTGGAAGGAGGGCTCGGTCAGCAGGCCCCACCTCCGCTCCGCAGGCCGGGCAGCGGGAGGGCTCCACGCACCACGGCGGACGTCCCCTCTCAACACCAGGGGGCACCCTGACCCCCACATCACCCGGCAGCCTCCTGGAGCAGAACTTAAACAGGATGTCAAGCGTTAAGAAGGCCACCACTTGGTTGAGCGCTGACCTATGAACCAGGAGGTCATTGTTCGATTCCCGGTCAGGGCTCAATCCCCAGTGTGGGACGTGCAGGAGGCAGCTGTTCAATGAATCTCTCTCATGATTGATGTTTCTATCTCTCTCTCTCCCTCTCCCTTTTTCTCTGAAATCAATAAAAATAATATATTTTTTAAAAAGGCTACCACTGCATCTCTTCATACCCTGTGTCTAAGTTGTGTGCTCTAGCCGGTTTGGCTCAGTGGATAGAGTCGGCCTGTGGACCGAAGGGTCCCGGGTTCAATTCTGGTCAAGGGCACATGCCCAGCTGGTGGCTCAATTCCCAGTAGGGGGCGTGCACGAAGCAGCCGATCAATGATTCTCTCTCATTATTGATGTTTCTATCTCTCTCTCCCTCTCCCTTTTTCTCTGAAATCAAAAAAAATATATTTTAAAAAAATAAATAAAATCAATAAATTGTGAATCTCG